TGTTGTTATTATTATTGTTATTGTTATTATTATTCATATCATTTGCATTATTGTTATTAGTATTATTATTGTTGTTGTTGAAGTTGTTATTATTTTTTTAACCAAATATTATGTTACTTGTCAACGGAAATGACCCTACCATGGGCTTAATTCTCGTGGATGACATATAGGTTTTCATTTAATCTCTTATACCTTTTCTACCTGTGTTGATCACAAACTTCTATATATCGGTTTGCATATTGATGCCGCTAGTGTGGTTCTCAGTTTTACGGTAAGTTATTTTCTTTTTTTACATCATACCTTTCGTAAGTAATTTATATCGTCCCCCCCTCCCTCTGAAAGCACTGAAGTCATAGCCTTTTTTTCTCCGTACAAGTCGTTAATATCTCCTCTTGTCCATCCTTTTCCCAGACTCTGAGCATCCCCATCGGACAGGTCGCTTTTCCTCCATCGTAGAGAATTTGAGACGAGGAAGCAGCCTCAGCTCTGCTCGCCACAGCATCACAAACTCTCTAATGCTGGACCCGGACGCGGCTAGCCTGCCAGGGGGCCAACTGGGACAGAAGGAGAAGCAGCAAAAACGACGCCTGTCGAAGCAGAAGAGTTTGTTCGACCTCCTCCGCTCTACACGTCAGTCAAACGCCCAAAGTGTCGTGCAGAGGAACGGGGATACCATCATCATGAAAGGCGGCAAGATTGTCTCTGTAAGACGGGGCGGGGATGTGAAGGAGGGGAATCCGTTTATTAGCAAACTCAAGACGATAAAGGACGCTGCAGCGGCGAAAAGTCACGGCCTCGCCGTGGGATTGGCTGGTCCGGGACAGGTGATGTTTGAGGTTTCTTACGAAGGCGTAGAAGATAGTAAAGCCATGGGTCAGAGGGACTCTATGGATACTGAGTCTCGTTGGAGTGACGATGTGTTTATGACGGATCGTTGCAGTGCCGACAGAGGAGGAGCTGGTAGACATGGCGTCTACAGCAAGGCTGATATGCATTCTCGGACTCTCTATAACAACGACGAAGGTTTTCACGAACTGGATCCCAAAGCCAACAAAGATGCAACAACAAAACAGCAAAATCTCCCGTCGGGATCGTCCGAGTTGAAAGTACAACATCAAAATAGTAACAACAACGTGAGTAAAAACCCTGGCTCCGAATTCGGAACGAACTCAGCTCTTAACACGCGTTTAGACAGTTTGGGATCAAGATCAAACATCTCATCTCCCCGGAGATCGTCGGTACCCATCATCGCCGTGAGCGACATGGACGGAGAACTGTCACCAAGACCCTTGAGTCCTGACAGACACCCTCACCTGACTAAGTCCGACACAAACCTCTCCCCTACCAGAGCACCCAACGGTATATCCCTCACAAATCCACGGTTTCCCGTATCCCGAAGCTCAAACCAGATCTTTAGGAAGCCTGTCTTTGCGCGGCTCCCATCTCTAGAATACTTGGACCCTCCTACACAGATCATCAAGTCATTTAGCTCAGCTAGTCTCAGGCTGCTCAAAAGAAAGTCACCAGATAAAGAAATGTCGTCTGGAGCTGAGGAGACCGTTTAGCAGGAAAAGGAAAACCAGACAGGCTTATAGAAGCTTTGTAACTGTTTATAGCCTTGTTCCAATTAAGCAGACAATATTAGCTACATTTATTTAACATGGTCTCAATCAGATAATATTTCTGACATGATGGTGGCAGTGGCAGCCCTGGCCCCACTTTCTACATGAATGATTAGGATCCCTTTTGTAACTGTTTCAATTTTTTTTCATTGGGGATTATGTACATACACATGTATTATACAAATATTAAAGTTAATGTACATCGTTTGTCCATTGATTTGTTTTATTTCGTCACCGATACTACAAGAAAACTGTTCTGATGTAGATGCGGAACATTTTCACCGCTGCCATAACAACATGGCGCTAATGTTGACCGCGATTTTAACGAATTTTTAATGTTTCCACACTAATGAATGAACCGGCAAAGCGACTTGAGTTGCTGTTAGTGACATTGTTGTTGTAGCTAAGATTATCCCGTGATGTTAATGATAGTGTGATATTACGAAGATGGCTATTGGTACTCAATATCACTTACAAAGCTCAAGAATACATAGCTCAGGTTAGATCAAAATATTTATAGCAAGTATGTGTATTGAATAGGAGTCCTGGGTCTATGGAGTTGCACCCAAACACTCGGGCTCTGTGTAGGCTTAGATAAAGCTGGTTGTTCGTCATTCTCAAATATATGTATTTGCACTCTTTTGTCAGGTTGACATTTCCAAAACTGAGTAGACGGTTAAAAATGCTCAGCTAATTAAACTGGACGATTGCACAACTTTCGGCAAGTTAAGTTGTTTCCGAAGGTTGTCAAAAATCTTATTTAGAACCACTTTGCTTTTTTTTTTTTTTTCTTTGTTGTTGTTTTTTTGGGAGGAGGGGGGATTGGGGGTTGTTTTTTTAGGGGGTGGTCATCATCATCATTGCCTTTCTCGCCCTGGATTGGGATATAGGCCACGAACAAACATTTTCTACCTTTCCCTATCCTGGGCTAGCCTCTTGGTGTTATATTTTGTCTTCCTACTTTTCTGCACATCAATCTCTGTGACTCTTCAACAGGTTCCATGTGATCTTACCTTACATCTTTTACCCTGTGGGTTTCAATCCCACGTTTTTCTTGTTTCCCTTCCAGAATAAAATATTTTCACCCCAAACTGAGCTGCTTCTGTCCAGACTGTATCCAGTAGGTTTCGCTGACTCCTAGTTTGTGCAGCCTCTTCATCTCTTGAGAACTCTTTCCTGCTTTAAACTATACATGGTGCGAACATTCCACGACGCAATCCGAAGAGACTAATTCGGCAGAGAAGGTTTCAGGTCAGGATAGTCATTTCAGCTTCGTCCATTGTCTTTACTAATTGTTCCTGTTGAATGCAGAAGCTCCTCTGTCTCCCAAGTTTAAAAAATAAAAAAGAGTGTTTATTCGTGTTTCTGCAACTTTCAGTTTTTACAGGGTCGGATAGTTCCCCTTCCGCAAACTGGTACTTTTCGGGAGACCAACTCTACGCATCTTTAGTCGCCTCTTACGACACGCAGTATCACGGCAGGTGTTATTCTTTCCTCCCCCATAGTAAAACTATGCCCCCCCTCCCCCCTCCGGGGGAAACGGCTGTAATAACGATCATTTCTCTCCTCTTCCCCCCACACACACACACACACACACACACACACACACACACACACACACACACACACACACATAGGGTTCTATGGTTTATTTTTTATGTTTGTGCAATTTTGCAAGGAAACGTTGGAATTGAACTCCTGATTTATGTCGTGATGCACCCCAAAATCTCTTATTTTTTGTGGTGATGCTCCATTAATACTAGCAGTGGGTAGGCTAGAGCTCTTATTTCCTGCACAGAATTAGCTTTAGAATATGCTTTAAAAGAAACAAATGTCACGCTTGTGTGTACTACACATTGTTTTATTAATTGAAATGAAAAAACAAGAAGCCTTACTGAGTGCTTTAGAGCCCTCATATAAATTGAAATATATTGGGTATATCATTGACACTATCTCGGAACCTGACTCAGTCCGGCTGTTTTAAGGGGCAAGGTATGGTAGGGGGGAAGAGGCAGAATTTAGACAGAAAATGTTTAGAAAATATAAATTATTTGTTGCGAGTAGCAAATCGTGCAGCATGCTATGATTGACGAAGTACCAGCTCCGCCTTAGCAGGGCGCTGGCCTGTTAAAAGTTGGGTGTACCTTTGTCGGAATCATTGTTAGTTTTTTTGGACTTTTTTAAAGGTACAAGCTGTCTAAGTTACCGTCCGATTGGTATGTTTTGTATCATCAATCGAGGGGAAAAAAATCGTTCTGACGGCTGCAAGCAGAGTAAACTATTGTCACTTTTTTTTTTTTTTTTTTTTTGGGGGGGGGGTGTCAAAAATGAGCTTTGATCTCGTGTGCAGTAGACACAAGAGCAAGGGGTGGCTCCCATTCGTTGTTCATTCAATGTCTACTCCTTAGTGCGACACTTAAACCGTTGTCTCATGGTGTCGAAAAACGTTTTCTTTATTCTCAAATCGGCGAGAAAGGGGGGGGGGGGGTCTAGAACAAAAGTACACCCATCTTTAAGAGTGGCCCTAGCCTCAAGCAATTCTTTTGAATACGTACAATGTACCCTGTACTTACTTAAGACTGGCTTATTAATTACCTGTATGCACCGTCAATCGGATTCATTTGATTGAGTCGGGGTCAGTCAGATTTTCCTTCAGGAAGGACAAAAGCTACGATTCTGGCACAATACGACCAATTCAACTCACGACCTTGAAGGACTATTTCATTTTAAAGGTCACAGTCGAATTAAGATGAATTCAGTCATATTTTGCCCAAATGGTTGCTTTTGCCCCATCCATGAAGGAAAATGCAACTGGCCTCGACTCAGTGATATGATTCCGACTGGCAGTGTGCACTGGGTAGAAGTAGTATAACTGACACTTTAACGTAATCGTTTAACACCCATACCGTTGCAAATACCACTACAGAAATGTACATGTATATATTATAGTTCGTTGAGGCGCCGGCAATGCCCATCTCGTACTGATTTATTGAAACTACCAACAATGAGTTCTCTTTATTTCTACGAATTCCCTTACTTTGTGCTTAGTATTTTGTCTATTTCTGTTGAAGTATTCCTCTAGCTAATACGTGTACATAAACATGAACAACAGTTTTAGTTTTCTAATTCTAATGGCAGTCGTATTGTAACATTTTGTGAGGTTTCCAAAGTGCAATATAACCAGCAAGCAGGGTTTTGTACAATATCCTCGTAGTTTTCCGTGACTCAATTCTGATGCTGAATGGACTTGCAATGATGTGAGTACCATATCCATGCTGCTAGTACACAAGCTGGTTTATGTAGGTCAGCTTGTTTATTTGCATGTGGGGGGGGGGTGCACTCGTGCGTGTATGTGTGTGGTTGGTGTATTTGTGTGTGTGTAGATCTATGTCTGAATGGGTGTCTATATGTGTGTGTGTATGTGTCTGTTTGCTCATGAACGTATGTGTGTGCACGTGCTCTCTCGCTCGTGTGTGTGTGTGTGTGTGCATGTGCGCGCGCTCATGCTCCTATTTGTACCATATAATGTAATGGTAAATTTTGTCTGTGAGCGCATTTATTTATGTCCAGCTTATTTTTGAGCATGCAATGTAGATTTGGAGGTCAGAGTCAAGACATGGGCGTGAATGCCTGCACGTAACCTGTTTCAATTTCAAGAGTCCCCTGTGCTCAATCTAATACAGTAAATATTTCCTACTCTCTCGTTTTTGTCTCCAGATTAAGCCTGTGTCGCACATCGTGTGGTAGGCTATAGAATGGATTTAATACTTGTAGGGTGTTGCAAAGCTTTTTAAAGTTAAAGGTAGAAACCTTTATTTACTTAGCGTCCGTCTCCAGTAGGAACTATCGATAGTTGAAGGGCCTTTACAAATAACAACCAAAATGCTTCGCATCAACAAGGGATAAGTACCAGCAATGGCGTCGTAATTTTGTGTAAGGCATGGGAGGGGGAAAGGTGAGGCTAGTGAGAGGACTTTAGTCTCCGAAATGGCCCCTATGTTTGACCTGGTGTCATTTCAACCCATTTCTTACAAAGTTACTTTAACCCTTTCCTTACACCGGGAACTGAGGTTTAATTCTTCTGAGAGAGAATGGTTTAAGTTTGTTGGGGGTCCCCTTTTCTTTAAAAGGGGCTAAAAATTCAAACCTTTTCCTTTTAAAAAAATGTGTGTGTTTGTGTGAACGAGGCATGCATAGCGAAGAGCTCTGAAGATTTTACCTGTTTTTAATTCTCTGAACTTAATAATGTTCTTGATAACGCGATAAAGGAGGCACTCAACACTCAGCAAGCTTCGAAAGTGCCGAGTCCTACATGTACATTAGGCCTTTATAGGCCCCACGTAAAAACGTGTTTCAAGCTTCAATCAAAAGATTAAATTAAGTTTGAAATTATTAGTTTAGGTTTAGTTCAATCATTTTGCAACGTGAAAATAGTGAATATAACTTTGCCTGACTTATTATGTGCTTTTCATTCATTTTAATTTTAGGCCTATGCAATGAAGCTCTTGTTCCTGTTACTTTATTGCCACATACTTATTTTGGTTCCATGTTCTAGTCATCCTCACTCACTAAGACAAATTGTTTGCCCAATGTAAGGTTCCATAACATGTCACTTTTCAAATTTGTGTATGGCGGAGTCTTGCACTAAACTGCCTAAATGATTCTTTCATGGTGTATTGTTGCTGTTCAAGTGTGCTCGCACTCTTCTGTTGTGTGTTAAACTGCTTTGGATGTTGACTGACTCAGTGCAGGGGGAAAAGAGCCACTGTTATTTTTTCTTGTCTAAGTAAGAAACATGTATGTATGTGTAGACCTACTGTATTGCTCTAAATGCTGGAGTTCAATACACATGAATGTCTGGTGACATTAATATCTTATAGCCTGCTATATGAACCAAACAAAAAATATGCTAGGGCTTGAAACTGGAAATTGTCTTTTTATTTTTTTATTTTTTTTTGTGGGGGGGGGGGGCTGTCCTATTATTTCTTTTATTGTTATTGCTCTTCTTATCTACCAGTAATCTACTATCAAAGTCATTTATCAGCTGCCGTAGAAGTGAAGACAAAATTGATCTGCCACCCAGGAGGTCTAGTCCAAACCTTGAACTGTGAACTTTCCTTCCTGAAATATTTATTCCTCTTCGCCCAGAATCCTAGGGAAGGACCACCATGTGTTCCACCAGCAGAGATGGTCATTGGAGTAGCAGT